TGAGCGAGATATAGATATATGCAATATATATATATATATTGCATCCCCAAAAATGATTGAGGTCATGTCCATGTGTTGTTCGAGAAGTCGATTTATTGATTATGGTGACAGTCCTAATCTTATGTTCTTCAATTATTTATTTATTTGATTAGAAATACAGTAAAGATAGTGGCATTGTGAACTGTTTTTAACATTTTCAGATTTATTTTATTTGATGGTAAAGTGATATTTTGAGCGTTATTTGAGTCTTCAGAGTGTCTTGATCCTTCGGAAATCATTTAAATATAATTAGGTACTCAGGAAACGTTTATTTGTATCCTTTTTTTCAGGATTCTTTTATGAAAAGTTGACAAAACAAATGGATTTATTGTAAGAAGTTCTTGTAGCATTATGTATAATCATTACTGTGACTTAAGATTAAATGTAGATCACATGTAGTCATAATATGGAATAAATTATATAAAAAGAGAATCAATATTAAACTAACCACTTGAGAAAACAATGGAGAAATAATTTGTTCAAACCCTAAAGATAAAAGTAGATGTGGTACTGTTCTTGTGTGTTTTACAGCGAAAGAAATGAAAATGTTCTGAAACCCCATAACGTATTCTCCAATACATCATCTGTGCTGAACAAAGACGTTGCTAACAGTAAGTAATTTTAACTGTTGTTGTTTTCTTCTTCATATTATTATTATTATTAGTAGTTGGTATTGTTTACTCTGTTTGTGTAAAGTGTTATATTTAATCCCTGCAGCTTTAGAAGCCTGGTTACAGATACTTAGCTTTTATCTCTCTTCAGGTTTTTTGATTAGCACATTTGTGTTTTATTATATTTCAGAAAGTCTCGAATCCCCGGAGCCTCCAGAGTTTTGCACCCCAGGATTTAAGATTGCGAAAAACCACGTCCCATCTACTCCACTATTCAATGGAAAGAATGATCTCAATTCTCCTCCTCGCCTCAATAATAACTGTCCTTCCACCCCAGAACTCCCTGCATTTGAAACCCCTTTTGTCAGCAAGCTAATAAAAAAGGTGTGATGTGCTCTTTAACTCGACACTTTTATCACTGGCATGTAAATCTGCCACTAAACATCTTTACGTTAAGCCATGACGTTACCAATAAAAAATTATGTGGTTTTACTCACTCTCTGTAATTACCATTTCACAGGAGGACAGAGAGGAAGAAAGCAAGAGGCACTCTGAATCACAGGAGAACAGTTTGCGTCTACCAGATCTTTCAACCACAAATGGGACGTCTTGGAATGATGCTCCTGAGATGCCAAAAATGTTACGTTATGAAGAGGAAGCATTGCCTGAGATGCCGATCCTACAGTCTAATTTTGGAAGTTCTCTAGCTTTTGTAAGCAATCGTGTTTCATTTATTCCTTTTCAAAAATGGTGTACCTTAGATTTGATTCCAAACTTAATGAATACTAGACTTTCATTTCTTGAGATGCGAATGATGTCTGAACTTTCTTCATCTAGAAAAATACATCTGGTGAAAGTCTCTCAGGGATGAAAACAGGAGCAGGTCATATGTTAGAAATGAAACAGACCTCTGTCCCAGTGCCTGAAGATGGATTCAACCAGGACTGGTGCCTTTCGACTCCGAAAGTCAGAGTGAAGTTCCCAGCAGAGCCCTGCACACCAGAGATGCCTGATATGAGCTCTGTCACTCAGGATATCTTAAAAGTGAGTCACTTAAACCTTGTAATTCTGAAATGGTTATATTTCAGATGTGCTGATAAATGTCCTCTCTCTCTTTCAGCTTGTGGCTCAGTGCAAGTATTAAGCACTCACCACTGGATCTGTCCGGCAGACCTCAAAACCTGGCTTTCAAAAAAGTGGCATCAGGAGGAGAACAGCAGTTTGAAGCCGTAACACAAAGGCTCTACTGACTTTTTTATAATTACAAACACTTTTATTACGACTTGAAAAAAACTTAATAAATAATTTTAAAAAGCTTAAGTACAATTATAACAATCCTTGCTACAAATGCCAGCATTACTAGTGAATGTAGCAAACCTTTGCTCATCTTTTTATTGGGAATATGTTCATGTAATTTATTTGTTTTGGTCTTAGATTTAAATGCCATTTAAAAATGCTAGGTACACTATATAATAAAGACACTGTAGCTCACCCAAAAATTAACATTTACCCACCACCAGGTGTTTCCAGAGCTCTAGTTTTTTTTCTGTTGAATACAAGGAAGATATTTTGAAGAATGTTTAGAAACCGTAACCCTTGACTTCCATAGTAAGAAAAACAAATACTTTGGAAGTCAATGGTCAAAGGTTTCCACCTTTCCTCAAATTATCTTCTTTGGTGTTCAACAAAAACTAAGAAACTAAAACATGTTTGTGAAAAGTAAATGACAGTATTTTCAGTTTTGTGTTAACTATCCCTTTATGACTAGTTAGATCAGGGGTGTCCAAACTTAGTCCTGGTGGGCCGGTTTCCGGCTGAGTTGAGCTCCAACTTGCTTCAACACGCCTGCCATGAAGTTTCCAGGTCATCTAGTAAGCACTAGATTAGCTGGTTCAGGTTTGTTTGATTAGGGTTAAGGCTAAACTTTGCAAGACATTGGCGCTCCAGGACTGACTCTGGACACCCCTGAGTTACAGTAGATAAAGCCAGATGGACAAAATGCTTTTGCAGTTTAACCTAACTACAATAAACGAACATACAAATGCCAACAAGGCCAAATGGTTACTTTATAGCTACATGTTATTTTGGAAATTTCCCACATTTTCTGCTACTGAATGTGAGGTACGGTTCAATAGTAGGGTTGGGGTAAAGTTTACTGTGCGAATACTATACTTTTAAATTGTAAGTGTACTTACAATGTACCAACTTGTACATCTTCATATTCTGCACTACATGGAAAAAGTACAAAGTAGTTAGAGACAACTATAAAGTTACTAAAGCTTAATCATTAGTGCATTCATTCTGAGATCTACTTGCTAAATTGAAATATTTATTTAAACAATGAATACTTCATTTAACTAAAAAAAGGTTTATAAATGATACGACTTTAGACAAGATACTGAAAAAAAAAAACATTTATTCATGAATGATTTGAATCACGCTAACAGGACTAGAACTAAAAAGGTAGATCTGATAAAAAACTCCACAAAGAACATAATATATGAAAAGACTTTCCTTTTTACTTCCAAATCGAGATTATCAGCTCAATCATGCTGCTATTCTGCATAAACCTTCCTGCAGAGTTTAGTTCCGACATAAACACTCGATCAAATCAAAGTCTTGCAGTTCACCTGAAAAGCTCAGACAAGGGCTGAACTAAACTCTGCAGGAAGACAGACTTCACCCCTTTCATTTAAATGCAGTCAAGTGTTGTTTCAGGTCAGTAGGGCCTCATGCGTCCTTGGAGAGGCGGTGCGCGGTTAGGCGGAGTGATGGCAATGTCAAGATAATCTCCGATCTGAAAGCTTTGTGACTGAAGCGTCATCGAGTCATCTGCACCTTTGCGCCCAGAAACTGTGTTGCCAATTTCTTTAACCCTGCAATAAAGCCAGTGGAGTTATAAAAAATCCATAACAAATCTTAACACAGTATTAAGAACTGTGTATTCATTACCGGTAGATTTGTCGTTTGGGGTCTGGGTAAACAATGGCGAATCCAAAATGTGTGCCTTTCTTCCGAGCTTCCGGATAGACTTCCTTCACCAGGCTTGTCAGTTCTTTTAGAGTAGCATCCATCCTGCAGCCAAGGCATATACAAATCAGGATTGTATGGTTCAGTTGATCATTGATGCAGTGCCTGTTTTATAATAATACTTACCAGGTGTAAATCTGAAGTTCACTAGAGGGCACGTTCCCCCGGGCAAACTCATCCATGCGATGGTGCCTTCCATTGTTGGTGGTGAACACTCTCAGGAGAAGTGGGCATGTCTGCACAACGAGCACAACAAACACATGTAGAAAGTATTAATAACAATGTCTTTTAAAACAATCAGACATGCAGATGTGTCTGTGCATCCAATATAATGGTTATTAAACAGTTGGCACAGGATCGTTAGGCAGGAATCAAACTCGGGTCACCGAAGTGCATGTGTTGACGCACTAACCACTGGTGCAGATGTAATCTCATTTCTTAACCAACATCAATTCTGATAATAACTACAAAAGTAGTTTTAACACTAAATTGATTTATGAGAAATATACTTTTCTGTGCAGATTTTTAGAGGTTATTTGTCTTTAAGTCGACGATCAGAACAACATTTGTATTACTTTAGTTCATTTGGCCTGAAATGAAAACATGCTCAATTTTACTCCAAAACAAAACTGAAGAAATGTGCCAAAAATATAATGTTAAACATTTTTTATATAATTGCGTTTTTAAATGGAAGCCTGTTAACAAAGAGTATGTGACTTTTTACTTAAATGGCACTGGGATGGTTAAATATTAGTCGACGTTTTTTTACCAGTCCAAAACAGAATCTTGATAAGAAAATGGGTAAAATATATTAAAAGCTTAATAAAAGCAACTTTTTATTTGCCAGAATGTACGCTATGCTACATTAACAGATAAAATGAGTACAAAATAAAACAAAAAGGCCAAATGTCTAAAAGGAATGCACACGGTTTAAGATACGATTTGTAGTATAACGTTGCAACTAGATATTTTGTAATGTTTCTGTGTACCTACATTTTTAGTTAGCGTTAGATTTACAAATTAGCTTAGCATGCAGGACGCCTCGTTTGTGCACGAATATTCGCGCCACTGACGAACAGAAGTAACTGAAAACAAACCTTTTCTCTATCCACTGGCTTTGTTGGCTCTTTTTTGATCTCCTCCTGTGTGACCCTCGATTCCACAGCCATTTTTATCTTATTTGTTGAAAGAATAAGCGATGAGTCGCTGTTCACGACGCCAGTAAACGCTCGATCGCGGCGCGGTGAGATGATATCATCATAGCCAAGACAGCGAGGACCAATCACGACCGACCGGTTACGACTAGTGAAATGACGACACACTCGTGTCGCCTACTCTCCCCCACCGCCATTTTGGGAGTCAGATTGTAAATATTACTAGTTCAGGAAACCAAATACGTCCACTAATTTGGTGGCATTAATATGGTGCACACTTGCGTAGTGGCCGGTTGTCGGAACAGGAGAACTCCAGGGACCGCGTTATCCTTTTACAGGTTTCCCCGCGACCCGGAGCGGAAGCAGCGCTGGATCGCTGCTGTGAATCGTGAAGGGTGGGTGCCAAACGAGGGCAGCAGACTCTGCAGCACACACTTCATTTCAGGTAGGGTAACATCTTATGTGGTGCATATAGCATGTGTAGGTTAGCAGTAATCTAATCTCTGTGATGGTTGTAAATATGTCTAGTAATGTGTTAAATGGTGATGAAGCCCTGCCTGATGCCTACATTACTCTTACTGTTATAATGCACTTTAGGGCTTGGGTTCAATACAAATGTGGACTAAGCTATTATTTTTGGGGGGGTAAACGCATGGTATTGCTCACTAAATTAACATGTGAAAAATGAATGCGCTGTTTTTCTTTTATATTTCTTGATACAACACAATTTAATATGCCCTATAGTAAAATAATTATAATGTGTGTGTTTGTGTATAAATATATATATATTAATAAGCCATTGGTGCCATCTGGAGGGAGAAAACAGATTATATGTAATAACACATTATAACCACTAGATGAATGTGTAAAAATACTGTATCAGACGATAGTTGCTTGTAAGAGTTTGCATTTGTGTATTTTAATATTTAGACTTCATCAAAGACTAATTGTCTGTGCTTGATTTGGACAGTTACTGATTTATACTGTGTTTTAAAACTGTCTGATGCACTGAAGTTGTACAAAGAAACGCTTATAAATTGAGTTGCCTGGTGAATTTGCACATTGTTTTTAAGTGTCTTATAAACCATAACATTTTAATTTATATAAATTATTAGTTTTTTTTAAAGAACATGAATGCACTCTTAAATACATCAATGTTTTTTTTTTCCATTTACAGGAAAACAAGTGAAAAATCCTCGATCCCCTGATTTTGTTCCTTCAGTTTTCACCTCAGCGCCACTTTCCCCAAATATGAAAGAAGCAGGTTCTTGTGAAATGTATGATAAACAAGAGGCACAAGTGGAGGCCGCCAATGCTTTGCTCTTTTTGCAAGGACAAGGGCGTTTCTTGGAGGAAAATAGCCAGATGACAAGTCAAGAAGAGCCGGAGAGTGTTTCCTCTTCACTGAGCAGTTGTGACGAGGAGGATGTTAAGACTGAAGATGCTGTAAAAGAAGAAATCTCACAAACAAGCGTACTCCAAAGAGGACAACCAGTCAAAAACATTCCCCCTGACTATGAGTCCAGTCTCGAGGCTCTTAAGAAAGAAAACATGGAGCTGAGGGAATCGCTAGATAAGATGTCTCTCACTGAGGCTTCCTTTAGGAATGATCCAGAGAAGGTTCGCTTTTACACAGGATTGCCGAACTACTTTGTGTTCGAGACGGTCATGTTGCTTCTCATTCCACATATGAAAGGAGACAAAAATGTCAAACTCTCCAAATTCCAGCAACTTCTCTTGACACTAATGCGCCTCAAGCTGGATCTCAGAAACCAAGACTTGGCTTATCGTTTTGGAGTCAAGGTTGCCACAGTGGCCAGGACTGTCCATCGGATTATTCACATAATGTTCACCACTCTTGTGCCAACTGCTGTTTTTTGGCCCTCCAGAGTAGAGCTCAGAAAAAATCTACCAGCTGCATTGTGTTGCACATACCCAGACTGTGCGGTGATCATTGACTGCTTTAGGGTGTCTCTGGAAAGAGCTCTCAGTGTGGATGGAAATCAAGATGTTGCATCTACAGCATTGACCACACCAGTGCAGTCCACTGTGAATGAGCTTAAATATGTCATCGGTGTTGCTCCTCAGGGTGTAGTCACGTTTGTTTCCAGAGGATCTCCGGGTCATGTCAGCGACAAGAGTCTAGTTGAGAGTTCTGGCCTTCTCTGTAAACTCCTGCCTGGTGATGTTGTTCTGGCAGAGCGTGACTTTGACATTGGGGGCTTAGTAGGTGCTCGGAAAGCCGAACTCAAAATCACTAGTAGCACTTACTTTGAAAATAGCCAGAGCGGACTGGATGGAGATTTCTCGCCAGTTGGAGCACTATCAGATAAAGCGATTGCTCATATGCATGTTGGAAAGGTAATAGACATTGTTAAGAGGAGATATTCCATGTTAACTGGACCAGTGGAGAGCCCCTTTACAGTCGTAGACCGCACTTCCAATGTGAGCACTTTTGATAAGATTGTGCAGGTTGCTTGTGCCTTGAATAATCTGTGCATTTCTGCTGCTCCCCTGGAATGATATTTGCCACACTTTTGTAAAAGTCACTTTTACTTGTACCATTGCTGAATGCACCTTTATTGTTTCTCTATTATTATAGAAGACATTTTCTGTTCTTACAAGAGGGATCAGAACAAGGACTGGTTTACATCTGGTGTTAAGATGCATTTTGGTCAATCTGATTAGAAGTAGACGAGGGAGACACATTCACCGTTATACCTGCTGCTTAATCCAGCTGTTTTGTTCACTTTGAACCACTTTCTTGATTTTTTTAGAGGATTTCAGTGTAATACTTTGCAATAAGCTCGCACATCTAAATGAAATATAATAGCAGACAGTGGAAAATGAGAGCAAAGAACAGCAGCTTTTGTTTCTGCTACAAAACTGCAGAAAGCTGTTGGGTTTGTGTTAGAGTCACGACTGGTAGGAGAACTACTGGTAGTTGTAGATCAAAGCTTAAAATCTTATCCTCAAATTCATGCATTTACAGCCAAAAGTGAATCTGTGTTTAAAAAAAACTTACAGTGGCTGAGAGACAAAAATAAAAAAAACTGCAAATAGAAATGCTAACAAATTGAGAAAAACATTGTTATGCACTTCAATTCACACACATGCACGCAAATATTTTAACGCATCTAAATACTGAAATGCACTACAAGTTAAGAAAACCTTTCATAAGGAAAAACACTAACATATTAAGAAAACAAAGGGACTAAGCTGAAAAGAAAATTAATGAATATTAGAAAAACATCTTCGCTTTGACTACACACATGTGCACGTAAATTCTCACAAGGCATACAAATACAGAAACGCACTGCAAACAGCACAGACTACAACAGAAATTTGTCGGGGGGAACAAACAAGAAATCATACAATTAGGACATTAACATAAACAAAACAAACTCAGAATTCTGACAATTTTGCATCCTAAAGTAGGATTGTCACGATGCTGGAATTTGAAAAACGTTCATTTTCCTCGAACATTTGAGCACTGTTGAGCACGTTCTGATTTGCCACTGTGTTCAAGTGCTCAACAGAAATGACTGTAATTGGCCGTGAAGGTCATTGGTTCACCGAACTCATCGCAGTTTACTGACATACATTTTTTCCACGTACATTTGAGAGCTGTTAAGCACAATCTTTAACAGCGCTGATTTGTCATTGTGTTCACATGCTCAACAGAAATGACTGTGATTGGCCATGAAGGTCATAGGTTTACCAAACTCATCGCTGTTTACTGCGTGTAACCACAGATACAGAGACACTGGAGCATTTCATAGTCGCGCCTATCAGCTGGTTGGTCTATAAGCTGACATACAAGTGATCCGTTGATGAATCGCTGCTTTAAAGCGCTCCAGTGTCCCTGTATCTGTGGTTACACGCAGTAAACAGTGGTGAGTTCGGTAAACCAATGGCCTTCAAGGCCAATAACAGTCATTTCTGTTGAGCATGTGAACACAATGGCAAATCAGCGCTGTTTAAGAAAGTGGTCAACAGCGCTCAAATGTTTGAGTAAAATGAAAAATTCCAGTTTTTTAAAATTCCAGTACAGACTGGTATTGAATTTTGGTATCGTGACAACCCTACTCTAAATAAGAAGCAGCGGGGCTTGTGACTTTTGTGTTGTCAAACGGATGAAGATGTTTTCTCAGTTTGTTATTGATTTATATATGCTCAAGCGCACTTAAACCATTATAGAAACTAGAAGTGGTGTGCAGAATGAAAGAATTTAGGGCTTTTTTTCACAGAAACTGAACAAAATTGCTCAGGAAAAGGAACAAATCAAAACATTTACATTTACACAGCGTATTTTGCTTCATGCAAATGATTAAATACATTCCCTTCATTTGTTCTTAAAGTTATTCCAAAAGTCTAATATTTTTCTTCAACACCTTCAAACCAAACTTACTAGCTGAAATCATGCCTGGTTAGTGTACTTTAACAACACTAACTATAATGGTAGGTTGAGGATGAGGTGTTTTTATCTGATTTTTATTTGCATTTGTCCACATGAGCGTCTACATTTATGTGTTTGGACTACCTCTGGATGTGGTTGATAGTTTACAAAGTGTTTCAGCCTCCATTCACACATGCATTTATCATCGTCCATTTGTGATCAGATTGACAGAAACGCATCTTAATATCAGCTGTTAACAGGGCCTTATGCAACTTAAGGACCAGTTCCAATCATTAGTTAGGCACAGTTCACTGGACAATCTTCCCTCTGTGTGTGTGTGATTTTGTTTTACGTAAGGAGCTTCCTTAGTCTCTGAGCTGACTTTGTTGATGCTTTGGTTTGATAGAGACATTCCATCCATAGCTTAACTTTAAATTGGTATTGTCGAGAGTGGAAGTTGTATGCTGAGAATTTCAACTATTCAAGGCCCTGAAGAATCGCCTCGGTCAGAGACTCTTATAGTCATTTACTTTGACAGCAGCTGCCTTTAGGTTCCAGTGCCTTTGTCTGAGTTATGCCTCCTATGGTTTTCTTTCGCTTCTGTATAGATATATAATATATTTTTGTCAATAACCCAGCAGTACTGTGCTTTTTACTTCTGATGATGCCTAGTCACTATTACTATGGGATTAAGTACCATAGAATTACCATTTAGTTATTTGCATTGTGTGTGATCATTGTTTTAATCAACATTAATAGCATTTAGCATGATGTATTCACTCTGAAGTTCAACCATTGCACTTGTTTATCCTTCCTGGCTGTCACTCAAATGTGTTTGTGTGCTCCATTTATCTGCGTTTGAGAAGATGATGCTTCTGTTTTCCCATTTTTGTCATGTGTCTGATGTGCAGAGACGACCAACACAACTGTAAGTCAATGTAGCATCCTGTTGTATAACATGTAAGAAAATGTTCCCATAAACTTTGTAATAACGGTTATGCTTCAGCTTCTTTATTGTTTGAGTATTTATTTTAATCAGCAGAAATAATCAGAAGCTAAATTTACATTTCTATTAAGGTAAAGTTGGTTTTATATTCACACATTCATTCAGTGACAACTTGTGACTTGCTCCCTATATTGTTTACCATGTTACTTTGAACATTTGCTCTGAAATCACATGTACTGTAAGTATGACTTCAAAACAACATTAGCACTATTTATTTGACTGTGAACAGTGTTGTACTTTGATGGCCTTTGGATGCTAATATGATTTCCCTATTTAGAATTAGCAAAGAATACTTTTCTAAACTTATACTATTAAGGAGAAAGTCAGAATGTGTGAATAAAAAACCAACTTTACATCAAAATATATTTATTTTGGTGACTCACATTTATACTTGAAAAAATGAATTTGCCACACTGCAGGACTAAAAGGTTTACACTTTATTTTGATGGTACCTATTGCATTTTGTTGACTAAAAGTTGCAACTACTTCTCATTAGGTTTGTCGTGATACAATTAATTAATGTCACGATAATATACCAGCTGAAGCATTGTGATACCAATACTGTAATTCATAACTCAAATCCATGTAATAAAGAAAAATGGCAGAAATACTATATTTGTTATAATAGGTCAACATTAATTGATATATTTTTCCCTTATTATTGAAAAAAGTATTTGTACGTCTCTTCACCTAAAATATATTTGTACCAGCAAAAGAAATACATTAAAATAAAGTAACAAATTATACCAAACAAAATTTGTTACAAAAGAGCATTTTTGCAACAAACTTAGGCTATATGAAGTGCTCTAAAATGGTTTCAATGTTTCCTGTTGCTATTTTGGGTTTTTCATCTATTTTTTTCAGTCTTATAAGAATCTAAAGTAATTCAAAATTTCACTTTGTGTGTTGTTCTTTTTAAGAGATTGTCACGGATTAAAGGGTTTAAAAGGATCACGAAACACCAAAACACATTTTTTGAGCTGTCGTATATGTGTCCCACACTGCTAAAAACACTATTAGGACACCTATATTTCACTAAAAAGTGTAAATTGGTTGTTTTTGCGTTATTTCAAGCAAAATCGTACTTCCTGTTTGAAACGAATTTTTGAAGCTGCGTCACGGCCATGACATAATAGCCTGTATTCCAGCGTGCAGACTGGGCGTCTGTGCCAGAGTGAGTCTTATTACGTCTTACAGTGTGATGCATTAATGCATGAGTAAGGCTTGGTTCAAACCAATCAGCGCGCTCTATTGTGCAACTTCATTAATATTCATTAGTGTCACCGTGTTTACGCCACAGAGACGCCACGTTGTGTTGGCAAAACAAGCGTGAAGTGTTGCTTTTATAGTTTGCTGCCATTAAGTTTCGTTTTTATTTTCTCTCTGTGAGAGCGCAGCTGGATCACGTGTGGATTAACAGTGTACGCGACGTTCGACAACAATAACTTACGTGTCTAAGGAGGAACATTGTTTACCTGAGAGCTATTCTCATCTGCAAACGCTGAAATCCGGATTCGCTTGTAACGTTAGTCTTCTCTTCATAAAGACGCGGCTCTAGTTTCTGGTGATTGTCCTGTCTCTACAGATTTGGTAAGTGAGCGACCAGTGCTCTTTGTTTATTCAGTTTGTTCGTATCGAATTAAGTTAACTACAAGTGTGCCGCAAGCCTGCGTTTGAGTGAAGGTCTCGGCCGTTAGATCGGCCCCTGGGGGCTGGCTGCAGTACAAGTCATAAAGCCCGCCTCCTCCGTGTTAATGAAGGAGACTTGAGCCCAAATAAAAAAAAATATTACACTTGCAATAAAATATCCCGAAAGATGGTTCTGGTGGATTAAGGCACTGGTTATTGTGCTGAAATAGGTGCAGATCTTCATTTTTGTAAACAGTTTGTTTTTAGCAGTAATTTAATGCTGGGCGTGTCATCGTGATTGACAGCTGTGATTGACAGTTTCTCAAAGCAGCGCGTCTGAGCTTCGGCAGGAGACTGAAGTGTTATTATTCGATTTCTGTGTTATTTTACCATGACAAAATGAGTTCAGCAGTAAACTACAGTTTCTGACATACATGATCCTGGTGGAACACTGTTTATTCGCTAAGGTCAGGGCTTTTTTCGGGCTTTATTAGTTTGCTGATACACGCCTAGCCACCCAGATGGCAAAATACACTCGGACCAGTTCGGCTAGATTCTCGCCTGCCGGAGACTTACCCCTCAGAGCTCAGACTGACTACCTCTGCTGGACCTACTCCGGATGCCTGGACTCACTGCCCGATTCCAGCCCGAGTCAATCGAGCCAGATGCGGCGGCCGAGCGAGCCAAGCAGGCGTTTTGCCCTCAAGGCGTTCAATGGGAAAAGGGGCTGTCGCGTCGTCCATATTTTTTACAGTCATTGGTTAACTATTGCACTGAGTGCAAACATAGCACCGCATTTTGTGACCGGAATAACAAACGCGGCTTTCTGACGCTACCTGCCGTGTGCATCTAAGTTTCCGGGAAATGCAGAGTTTTTTTTTCTCTCATTCGCCGTGCGGTATCAAACATTGCATGAAAAATACACGCTTAGAGCAGATCCTCGAATCAAATATCACGTTTGTCGCGAGGGGCATGAATGAATTCCCTGAATGAAAGAGCCAAACTGCAGTTAAAGTCCAACATTTAATAATTTGTCAAATAATTCGACTACAGATGTCTATGTAGGTTAAACACCATCACTTTCTCATGTGTGTGTATTTTGACTGAAACTCGCGCGTGCCCAAATAGACACTCCCACACCATCCCACTTTAGTTCCTCCGACACTCCCCCATCCCACTTTAGTTCCTCCGACACTCCCCCCTAAACAGAGCTGGACACGCCCACTTTTCTGACTTTTTCCAAAGTAGAGGTGTGAAAACACCCTGCTGAAACGAGGGGGTTTCATGGCCCTTTAAACTGTATTGACAGGAGCAGAAATTAATGAATTTAGATTCAAACTGAAGCATCAGAAAAATATGCAATAGGCTACCTTAAAAAGTGTGACTTCTACACAGTTTTGCAACCTTAGAAGGCTCCATAGACTATTAAAATACAATGGTCTATTGTTGCCGAAACTTGAGCATTTTAGTGACTTTTCCACATGCAACATTATATATTGTAGACAGACTGTTAATGACAATACTAACAAACTACAGTGGCACTGCCAGTATTATGAAGACATAGTATCACGATACTACCATAGTACCGATAAACCTTACAACCCTACTTTTCATTTGTGTATTAGTAGAGTGTCTAATATGTGCCGATACAGTTCCTTTAACAGACATTTCACTGACTATAAGAAATTTTCAAGTATGTCAACCTACCCTAACCCCAACCTATCAGTCTACATAATCTGTTGAGAATTAGTTGGCATGTATATGCAATGTAACTTCAATTCAACAAACTGCATTAAAGAGACCATCGAAATAAAGTGATACCGGTTCAAAATACATTTTACAAGGTAAATAAGAACAGATGAAAGTGTTATTTTATTCATTTACAACATGAAATGGCATGTGTCAACTACAAATCTCCTGTTTTACAATCTAAGGTCTTTGGTCTCTTAATTATATGTAATATTTCATTTCTTTGAGGACTTGAAACAAACCAGTGATTGATTGAAGAAAGCAATGCAGCAATCAGTTGAGTGAGAAGCCCAAGAAGGATCTGGGAACTATTTAGTTCACTAATTAGTTATTTCATTCACTATTTAGTTATAACATTAATTATTTGGCTATAACGGTAATACCTATGCGAGCAACTTAAAATAGACCAGCAAAGTAGGGGAATAGTGAAATATTCTCCTGCCATTGCACATATCTGCTTGTGTGCATCAGATCAGAATCTCAGCGTTGTAAATGTCGGAAGCCCCGCCCAGGGTATGTGCAGCGCTGACGTGCATGGCCGCCTCACGTGACTCCTCTGGAATGTTAACAATGCAGTAAGTGTCCAACTTTGTACTGCATTCTAATTCCGCCGTGAGTGGCGAGAAAATGGAGGACAATCCCATGATTTTTACTCCGTGCTTTTTATGAGAGGACGAAGAAAGGCCAACAAATCTTTAGACAGATAGTCCGCAACTTTACTGAAGTTTAAATCAGTTCCTTGGATTAAGGCACCGCTTATTTCACATGGTGAGTCGCTCAAAACTTTATAAACTTTTCAAAAAGCTGGGCATTAGTTGGTTTCAGGGGATTCTGCATTTGATTTGCGCTCGTAAATGCCGTGTAAGTTGAGTAAATAGGCCGTGTTTCTCATTTAAAGTGGGATAGGAGTGAACAGCACATTCTCCCTGCGCTGGAATGCGGATTTGCTCCAGCGGATCTGCGTTCCTCTCGCTCCAGTCCCTCTGAAGCGCTGGGACCGTCCTCTAGGCCCCGCGACTGTAAACCGTATTAACGGTACTTTGTGCTTATAGAAGCATTTTGAATACCCCATGTTTGCTCCTTTAAAGAGGATAATAAGCGATTATGTATGTTAAAAACACCTTTGTGTGGCGTAATATGTGGCTTTGTTATATGTTAAACAAAATGTCAAGGTAACAAATGTGTAACTAGCGTTTATAATACAACGTATGTCTACATTCATTTAGAGGTTTGTTTTTGGTGATGAAGTAGACGCTGCCACGAGCTGCAGGTAAGTTAACGTAAAGTTGTATTTTTACTCGTGCGTAACAAAACCAGCTCTGCTTCCCACAGGGTTTTGTTTATGTGTCTCGCGCCGTCAGATGTTTTCCCCAAATCAGATGTTTTTTAGCCGTACTGTAAGTTTAGATGATGATGTACTACAGCGGGGCGATCGCATTACACGTTTATTGTTTTGAAACTGTGTAATTCACTCCACCCACGAAATGATCCCCCTATTTTCATGTTGGACATGTGTGATGATGATGATGATGATGACATGTGTTGGGAACTGTTTTCATATTTAATCCTGTTGTTTTTGTGTGTTGTCTGAATTTTTGGGCTTGTGATGATTACAGAGTAGTGATTATAAGTTAATGTAGAGGGGAGCCAGAATATTCATGTCATTATGATACTGTGCTCTTGAAATGTGGATTCCTACTTTCTACTTTGCTGGGAAGATATTGTGACAAATATCAGCAATATGAAAAATATTCAAAAAAATGTTTTTTATTTAACTCTTTATTTGCCAGTGCCATTGCCAGCATAACTTGCATTATTTTCAGTGCCAGCATATAATAAATGAAAGACTATTGCAATAAATGATATGTGGAGGATTGTTTGGCTTGCTCTTTCTATAAGTAATAATTAAACACAATTTACAATTTAACATTTTAATTATTTGAAAGTTAATGCAGCTCTAAATAAAAATCAGTACATCGTCACTTTGGAATTTTAAGGTTCTATCTGCTTCTGAATGATTTTGAGATATTGAGCTTCAAAGTTTTTGCATTCAATAGCAAACAGTATGTGTGTAACATTTGTTTTTTAAATAAAATGTCTTAAAATGTAAACAACTTATAAAAAACATCCCATAATGTAAATAAGTTGTCATTTAATAAGAATATGTCAATAACTCAATTTTGACAAAAAATGCCAGAGTGAACCTTCTAACACTAAGAAGACGATATGTTGAGCATAAAAGGTCTTTAAAGTTTGTTTTGAATATCGATAAATTTCAGTGGAATTCATAGAAGTAGAAAATTAGCAGTGCATGTTTTTTAAAATACTTTTCCATACTACATTTATCTTCAGTTCTGAGTTTATATTTTATGTTACAAATGACTTTTTTTAATTTCTTTGTGCAAGATATACATTTGCAGTTATTATCACTAATAACAATAGTTTATATTACTTTTATTCTATGGTGGAATGCATGCCATGCATACACTCACTGCCATTTGTTAATAAATAATGTACAGAAAATGATCCGTTAGGCAGTTTGTATGGAAATGAATATGAACTTATTTAATTTTTGTTTTCTTAAGGATGAATTTCTCGAGATTGTCTCTGATCTTCTATAAGTGTTTGAATGAATGCTCTGCACCTTGGGTTGTACTTGCAAATTGAATTGATAAATGTAAAAAACTGTGTAAAAATCTTTGATTATATCAAGCATAAAGTGAAGACATGACTAAACATTTCATGATGCCTCCGGTTTTACATTCAAGGTATTTTCTATTGAAGCTTACATTTGAATGTAATATTGAAGAGCTTCAATGGCTCAGTGGTTAGCACTGTCGCCTCACAGCAAAAGAGTCACTGGTTTAGGTCCCGGCTGGGTCAGTTGACATTTGTGTGTGGAGTTTGCATGTTCTCCCAGTGTTTGCGTGGGTTTCTTGTGTTTCTTGTTTCAAATACATGCACTATAGGTGAATTGAATAAACTAAATTGGCCGTACTGTATGATTGTGAATAAGTGTATATGGGTGTTTCCCATTACTGGGTTGCAGCTGGAAGGGCATCTGCTGTGTAAAACATATGCAGGAAAAGTAGGCTTTTCATTCCGATGTGGCGATCCCTGATGAATTAAGGGATTAAGCGAAGGAAAATTAATATAAATGAATATCAAAGAGCTTAAAGTCAAAGTTATAAAACCTTGATCTGTGTTTTAGCTTTTCCCATAAAAAGAATGTTTTCAGCAAGAAAACGGCTTTTCACAGATACTGTTTAAAGATAAAATCTTATTTTATGTTTATGAAATAAAGTAAACCTTCAGTAATATGACATATATACATATATTAAATGATTTATTCCTGATTATCAAGTGTTTTTTTTGTTGTTGTCTCGTCATCTTTAAGAAATCATTTAAGAAAAATTCTAGTATGCTATTTTAGTGTTTAAGAAACATTTCCTATTTTATTATTTAATTTATGTTAGGAGTGTTTTTAGAGAAAACGCTTTTTTCTTTTTTTAGTTTAGAATTGATTCTTAAATAGAAAAATGTAAAAACTGCATCAAAGTAAAAAATAAATTTTATTAATTGCACAAGCATTATTATGAGGCAAAATATACTATATATTAGGGCTGCACGATATTGGAAAAATCTAACATTGCGTTTTTTTATTCTGTGATTTGTAATTTGCGATATAAATACAATTTTGAATAACTATTTTGGAAAGAATTGATCATTGTAGATTAATTGGGATGATTCTGTAGGGGAGTACATGAGCATACAATTTAAGAAACAATCTACAGACGTAAGTAAATTCAATAAAGAAAAAGATGTTAAAGTGTTATTTTTTTTACCGGTGAGTCAAACTGTATTCAGGTGTACAGTAATTGAATTATCAAATGTAAAATAATACTGCAAAGTCTTTGAATTGTTAACAATTCAATCGTCATTAATTAAAAAAGTTACAAACAGTACAATTTCTTATAGGCCTGAATGTTTTTAAAACCCTCACAGTCAAATGCCTCAAAAAACACTTGCAAAATGATGAATAATAATCCAGACTCAACATTGCAAATGTTTGCGATGTGACTATTGCGAATGATCACATTGCGATATCGATGCTAAAGTGATATATTGTGCAGCCCTAGTGTATATAAAGCATGTTATTGTTTGTTTTGTGTAGTAATTTTAATTTTAATATCTAAAGGAGGGGTTTTACATTAAAACACCCAACTGCATATTTAGCTTTAAGACAGTAGCTGACCTGCTTGTGTTTCGTTATAAAGCTCTGACAGAGGGGCTGAGATTCAATCAATCTCCAGTATTTGACATAGAGTAATGATGCAGGGCCTTTGACTTGCCCAAATCTCCCCTTCTGACCCTTCTGTCCACCACTGTCCCCACAGGCAAACATGCATACCAGACTGGGATGGAAGAAGCATGCAGACGTAAACCCTCACATGTCTTTGGAGGAGGGGGAGTGTGAGCCTTGAAAGGGTTGCTGGGATGTGAGTAGACCTGCATCCAGCGCACACCAGAGCCAAAGAGGCAGCAGCTACAAAGACTAGCGACAACAGCAGTGCTAATCTCCACTCACATCTTTCTCACTGCAGCCTGTGTTATCTATTCAGGTCAGATTGAGTCTGGGTGTGTACAGTTGTTTGGCTTATTTTAGGATTTAACAAACCATGCAACAATATATGTTGTGCATAATTTGATTTGGGGTCAGATATTGTAATCAGGCTTTAAATAGTGTAAACTCATAAGGTTAAACTTTTGAGTGTTCTAGCTTGTTGATTATTATTAATACACTGTAAAAAATGCAAACAAAAGGATTTGTGTTGGGGCAACATGAAGGAATAAAGTTAGTTTTTTCATTTATTCATTCATTTTCGGCTTAGTCCCTTTATTAATCTGGGGTCACCACAGTGGAATGAACCGCCAACTTAGTTAGCTTTTTAGTTTTTACAAATTTAAGTGGAATGAACGTACAACAATTAAGCTGTCACAAAAGAGCTTAAGAATTGTGTTGTTTCTGCTCATTTTAAATAAGTAGTTTGAACAAATCGTAAATGTCATTGTTTAAGAGTTCAATAAAAAATAAAATGCATTATTTAAGAGTACATTTCTATATGTATAAAAATAAATCTTCACTTGTCGCCAGGTAGAAGCATGAATGTTTTTTTGTTGCCACTATTACATCATCCCAAATTCAATGTCAAATTTGTCCGTAAATAAAGTTCTGTAACGCTAAAATAATGCTTCATTAGTTCATGTTAAGTTATTTACTAACATGAGGATCAAAAAATGAACAATGCATTTATTACAGTATAATTCATGTCTGTTAATGTTGGTCAAGGTTATTAGGTATTTATATTACCTATTGTTAACAAGTAAAACTTTGCATATTAATAACTAAATGATTAATTAACAAATTAATCATCTTTTTTAATATTACAGTAATTAATAATTACTGTAAAATATGGTTTATAATTGGTTCATGTCAATAAGTACATTAAATAACATTAACTAATGAGCCATTAGGGTGGCACTGTGGCCCAGTGGGTAGCATGATCGCCTCTCAGCAAGAAGGTCACTGGTTAGAGCCTTGGCTGGGTCAGTTAGCGTTTCTGTGTGAAGTTTGCATATTCTGCCTGTGTTTGCGTGGGTTTCCTTTGGGTGGTCTGGATTCCTGCTATAGGTGAATTGGGTAAGCTAAAATTGTTTATGTGTGTTTATGTGTGTGAATGTGAGTGTGTATAGCTGTTTCCCACTGATGGGTTGCAGCTAGAAGGCCATCCGCTGTGTAAAACATATGCTGGATAAGTTAGCAGTTCATTCCACTGTGGCGACCTATGATTAATAAAGGTTGAAGCCGAAAATGAATGAATAATAATAAGCCATTATTTTAATTTTGACGCATTCTGACAAAACCGATTCATCATCAAGCTAGCAAAACATGCCAAAGAACCCGATGAAGAACACGTTTACCCTGCTAGATTCATTTTAAACAAATTAGTTTAGGCTTAGCATTTATAACAAAATTGTGTTTATAATAAAGGGAAACTATAATTACTTGTTTTATTCCTACTTTTTGGATGATTTTATGAATTTATGTAATTTGTTGCTGAGTGAGAAAAATAAAATTCAAGTTTTTTTCTTGTAATTTTTGTAAACTTAAAAAAAAGGATAGACATTTTATAGAGCTGCTGGCAGCTTATTTGACATTAATTAAGTAATAATTATTTTACAAACATAATGACTTGTCAAACCAGGAATGATAATTGTTAATATATATATATATATATATATATATATATATATATATATATATATATATATATATATATATATATATATATATATATATATATATATACACAAATTTAAGGTAACACATAATTTTGTTGTAGCTAGCACATGGTGACTTAAATGATTGCATTCTTTAAAGCAGGATAGATTCTGATTGGCCAGATTTTAATTGTTCATCAACTGGTAAAACATTGTTCGGAAACTGATATCAACAGTATTGTTTGTGTCTGTAATCATCATTTTATGTACCAAGAATGTTGCATTGATGACCCAATGCAACTTCCAGAGTATCCGGCGCTCACTTACTGAATCTTTCTGTCTTTCCAAGTGTGAAGAGTTTGTGTGAGAGAAAACAGGCCAAGTTCACTCATGAGGCCGAAGACGTTCCCTGCCACTCCATATGTGGGCAACACACGCCAGCGCCTGCAGGACATCAAGGAGGGTCTGAAACAGCCAGCGAAGCTGGTGAGTCAGGCACTTCATGGAGGCAGCTCTCGAGGAGAGGGTGGTCGAGGTGGAGACTCAAAGGGCAAAGACCAGGCTGCCAGACAACAGCAGCTCCGGCCGCCCCAGAAGTTTAACAACTACCAGAGTGCCCTCCGAGAGATCCGCAAGTCTCTGAGGCCCTATGCCAATGATTCAGGTCCAGGATCCAGCTCCGGGCATCCCGGTGAGGTCAGCAGACAGATGCTACAGGATCTGGTCAATGCCGGTTGCGATCAGGTAAAAGTCTTTGTTTCATATACATTTTTATTTATACAGTCTAAATACAAATAGATAAATGTATATATTGTGATATGAATTGTAGTCAACAGTAACTTGATAATAACAATAACGTATAGTTTTAGGAAAAAAATAAGAGACCACTTAAAACTTCTCAGTTTTCTGGATGTTCGACATTTATTAGCTTTATGTTTGAGTAAAATGTTAATGTTTGTTTTTTCTATAAAGGTGGGATCATGTTTATTTCAATAAAAAAATCCCCATTGTTTTTGATTTGCTATGATTGAAAATCAGCACTTTAACTCCAAATAAACTCATCTTAAATAAAAACATTGGCATTGTGTTTTTTAAAAATGATTATAAACAAATATTCCATTTTATGTTTGAGATTTATATAAAAAGTGATCTAAATCTCTTCTTTTTTAATTTTGAAAGAAATACCATCAGAAATTTACAAAATAAACTAAATTAAGCTTTACTCAAACTCTAGAGTGGCTTTTCCTCGTGTATATTTACTGTATATATATCTCTATATATATGTATGTATGTATATATATATAATTTTTTTTTTCAATTTGTGTATCTCATATCTTCATAAATTCTATTGATTCTGGCCAGTGTTGTTTCTTTTTTGAAATATGCTCATCTTACTCATCATAAATGTCACACATTTAGAAATGTTTGTGAAAATTCTTGAGCCTTGAGCAGTGCTTGGGAAATATGCAGCTTTGAAGAATATTCAGTAAATTAGTGCTGCGTGATATACATGATGTAAAAAAACTGACATTGCAATATGTTATTGTTCTGCAATATATAATGCGATAATGAGTATAATTTCATCAGATGTAATGAATAGCAGTAATTGGAAAGAATACATAAAATTAGACTAATGTGATGATTTTGTGGGAGAGCACATCTGCATAAAATATAATAAACCTATCACAAGCACTGATAAATACAATAGAGCAAAGATTAGCAGTATCCAGGCACAAACTGAATAATCAAATGTAAAATAACACTGTATGGTTTATCTTCATCGTATATGCACATAAATAAAATAATTGTTTCTTAAAGGTACAAATTTTTTGTGCCTAAACTTTTTAAAGTGGCTTGAAATGCTCACACAGACACATGCCTTAAAAACACATGCAGATGATATACTAATTATGGTTAATTTGCAATGACTCAACAAATCATGTATGTCTTTATACTGTTCAACTATAATATGATAATCCTGTTTAATCCTGCGATGTGGCTATTGCGGATACATACATTGCAACATTGATGCTCAAACGATATATTTTGCAGCCTTACAGTAGATATTTACTGATTCAGCGCTGTCTATGCAGTCTTGGCCAAATCTGAAATCATTACATAATACTGAGTGCGATGTTGAAACTGCAGTTTTCACAATTTATTTGGCTATTTAGCTTTTTCTTGAGGAGCTCAGTGGAACATCTCTACCCCACAGGAAGTGGCAGAAGCCAAATCAGATCTGATTCAAAACACAAACATGTATACAGGCTTGTGTCTTGTGGTTCATGTCTGTCTTTAAGTAACTCTCTTTATCCTAATATAAGTTTAAGTTAGTTATGGATCAGTTAACAAACAAATACTATACTAGAATATACTGCCGTAGTATTTTGTAACTGGTTGTTGTGTATTTGTGTTGGTGTGTGCATTATTGGCCATTGTGCAATCACCTTTTAGTTAAATGTGTTACCTGCACTCTGGTCCTTGTATTTAATTGTAGTGGATGAATTTGAGAAGAGATCAGTAGAGTCATCATTTACCCATGAACACATGTTGTTCCAAACCTGAATAACTTTGTCTGTTTAGTGGAACACAAAGGAAGATATTTTGAGGAATGTTGGTGACAGGACAGTTCTGCTGACCAATGATTTCCATTGTATAGTTGACAAACAGACACATTCCACAAAATGCTGTAAGCTAAAGCAATCAAAAATAGTTTTGGCTAATTTGAACTAACATGAAATATATATAGTAGTAAGTACTTACTATATATATATACTGGGTGTATATATACTATATATATGTAACTATATATATATGTAACTATATATATATATATATATATATATATATATATATATATATATATATATATAGTTGAAGTCAGAATTATTAGCCCCCTAAATTATTAGACCGCTTGTTTATTTTATCCCCAATTTCTGTTTAACAGAGAGAAGATTTTTTAACACATTTCTAAACATAATAATTTTAATAACTCATTTCTAATAACTGATTGATTGTATTGTTACCATGATGACTGTAAATAATATTTTACTAGATATTTATCAAGACACTTCTATACAGCTTAAAGAGACATTTAAAGGCTTAACTAGGTTAATTAAGTTAACTAGGCAGGTTAGGGGAATTAGGCAAGTTATTGTATAACAGTGGTTTGTTCTGTAGATTATCGAGAAAAAATATAGCTTAAAGGGGCTAATAATTTTGTCCATGTCCATGGTTCGTGAAAAATTTAAAACTGTTTTTATTCTAGCCGAAATAAAACAAATAAGTCTTTCTCCTGAAGAAAAAATATTATCAGACATAATGTGAAAATTTCCTTGCTCTGTTAAACATTATTTGGAAAATACTTAAAAAAGAAGTAACAAACTTGAAGAGGGCTAATAATTCTGACTTCAACTGTATATATATATATATATATATATATATATATATATATATATATATATATATATATATATATATATATATATTAGGGCTGTAACGATACACGATATAAAATCGAAATCGCGACACTCAGATCTACGATCCTGTGTCGCGGTGTAATAAGGAAGAATCGCGACACACCCACCCCGTGATACCTTTCCAATAACGTCACGCGTGCCTGCAAAAGTTGAGCTAATTAACACTTTTTTTCGTTCGACATTACAAGCACTGCTCCGTTTAAGCCCTCGCAATATTTAGCCAGGAGAGCTCGCACGGAGCTCTTAGTAAGGGGCCGTCTGAATGTGTCAAGAATATCAAAAACAAAACCAACTTAACCCCGCTTGACAACCGACAACGCCAGAAACATTGCCAATGCTTTCAAAGCGGCCGTCTTTCAGCGCATATACGATGATTTGCTCACACTGTTAATGTGGCTGCGCAGAGAGGGATGGGCGTTTACCAGATGTCAGGTAACAGCCAAACTTTTCTGTAACCGTGCAGTGCGCTTTCTGTTTGAACCTTTGAGAGTGCTGACTGACAGGTGCGTGAGGTCAGAAAACACGACGAAGCTTTCAGTTAAAATAAACACAGTTCCTATAGTTATACTTTATTTAGAGATAAAGGTATATGGCTCTGCATATAATCACTCTATCTTGCTGGAGTTTATAGCCGTTTCGCTTTACTTCAGGACGCATTAACACCGCTCTGAAGGTCTAATCGCTGTTTTAAGTTATCCAGAGCTGTATGAATATACAAATCTTGAATATCACAATAGTATTAAATATTACAATTGTAACAACACAGACAGCAACACTTTTGCACAATCGATACCCAGCTGATTCAGTCGTTCATAAGAGGACCGCACCTCTTCTTTTTTTCCTTGTCAACATAAAGGCAGTGAGGTCCGCCTTGTTTTCGGCCACTTGTTTAACTGCAAGGCATACTTAATTTGCGGGATGATAACGTATAACCTGTGCCTACAGACACATTTGCTAAAGAAGCAAAATGGAAGAAGAATATTGCTGTTTGATACAGACCTTGATACTAAACCAGCGCTTATGTTGACCTGGATCTGCGTAATAAACGCAACAAATAGGCTTTACCTTTTATTTTACAGCTTATAAAGCATGTACGCAGATTAATGCAATATCATATTTAAACAAACTGTTTACAAAAAGTCTACATATGCGCGCGTGTTGTTGTCTTTTCATCACGCAGCGCGCGCACTTGAACCGCGAGGGAGAGAGAGTAAACCATAGGCTATATCAGGACATAATCTTTAAAATAAGTATTTCTATTAAAATGTAAAAGGTTTTGTGATTATAATAATAACAGCGGGGCATTAAATAAATGCATATTTTCCGTGGAGCAAGCAATTTGAGGAAGTCTGCGATTTTTATTTGACGGAAGAAATAAACATATGATTGGAAAAAAAGCCTATGCCGGGTATTAAAAAGAATCAGTCAGTATTTTCGTTTTGTAAAATAAATTAATTATTTAAGTGAAAATAATTTAGGGCAGTCCTATTTATTTTATTCATTTTATTTAGATTATTCTGCTCTTCTGTGCTAAACACTGCAGGTGCGTGAAGATGCTCTGTTGTTCTGTTCCGCTATTAATATATAAAAATAAATCAGTATTTTAAAATGCAATATTTAATGTGTCATACACAAAATAGACACGTCAATTTGTTTAATATAAAATTAATAGTAATCTGACCAGTTAACCGTTAATAACCGATTAATGAGCGGCGGTTGTCGGTTAGCAAAATTAACGAAATGAGCATCCCTAGCTATTTAATTTACTTTTTCTATGGCAGAGAACTTGATTGAAAAATAATTTTCAACATGCTTGAACCATCTAAACAATGGAGTTTAGTTTGGTTTTTCAACAGTATTTTGTTACAAAGAAAACAGAAGTGATATAGCTTTGGCTATTTATTTATTTTATATATGGCTATTTATATTGTTAATAATTTGCATAGTTAATATTGTTCTTTGATGTTTAGTTTATAAAGATTTTTCAAATGTTAATTAAAAATAGTTTTAAAAATCTTTTTTTTCCCCACCCCACACGAAAAAAATAAAATAAAAAATCGTGATACGAATCGAATCGTGGGTCAAAAATCGTGATACGAACCGAATCGTGGGTTTGGTGTATCGTTACAGCCCTAATATATATATATATATATATATATATATATATATATATATATATATATATATATATATATATATATATATATATATATATATATATATAGTAAGTTTAATTATATTTATAATATTTCACATAACGTGGTT